ATTCCAGGAACACGACACGTTACTCTTAAACGGACACGTTACACGCACAGAACTCACAGTGATCTGCAATATCACAGCCTTCTGATACTCGTCTTCTGAATAATCTCCCCAAAAAGCTTCCATGGACAGACCTGCACAGTCCCAAACGAAACGCAAAAACGCTACCTTCTTCAAGGTTCTGATTCAAGATTTCTCTACCTTCTTGGTTAGTATCCCCCACCTGACTTTTCTTTTCTTTTTCTTCTTAATATATCAATCAAGTTATTGATAATATTCTTTTTTTTTTTTTGGCTTTTTTCTGGTGTTAACAGCAAATCCCACCGCATTTAACAAGTGATTGGCAAAGATGTGCCAAAGAAAGCAACGCTTGAAACTTATTATGGAAATCTGAAGAAGTCGAAGTGGAAAAGCGTGAGAATCGAGTTTGTTTCTGTAGGGATGGAGTAAATTTGTGGAGGACAATAAATTGGAGAATGGAGATTTCTTAGTGTTCAAATATATGTCTGATTATTCAAAGTTCAAGGTCAAAATCTACGGCAAAACTTGCTGCGAGAAGGAATGTTACATGATGTTGCCGAAGATCAGACAAATAATAATAAAAGAAAGAGAGATGAGGAAGAAGAAGATAATGTGAACAAAGATGATGGAGAACATCGAAAGCTGCAAAAAGGATTGAGACAGACTCTGATGTTGGAGACGAAGCTTCTGATGAAGATGAACCCATTGATATTGAATCTGATTCTTCTCGTCCTGTCGTCGAAGAAGAAGATAATGATGAACAAGAAGTTGCAGGTGAGCTATTTGATGCGTTTTTATCTTTTCAGAAATTTAAATTATTTTTAAGATTTTAGAGTTTGATTGAATTTAGTATAGTTGATTATATATATCTATATATATATATATTTCTGTTTGTGGATCTTAAATTAATCGGTATCGCACCTATATATATAATTAAATGTTCTATTCTAGAATTTTTAAAGTAAAAAAAAATGTTTTCGACAACTTAAAATCCGTTTGGATGGGGGAAGAGAAGTGGTGGGATTTTACTCCTGTTTCATTGTTTGGGAGGGAAGAGGTATATTTTTATTGTATAATGGCCAATATCTTTTATATTTTTTTTATTTATAACTATATTTTATTAGAAAAATTTTAATAATATAAAAGTAAAGTTATTTATATATATTTATTTTTCCTGTCCTCTACCTGAAACAAACAAGATAATATTAAAATACTTTCTTCTTTTTCATTACAATCCCTCTCCTCCTTTTTCTTGAACCAAACGCACATTTAGGATTAAAGGATAGAATCAGGTCCTTCTTTGGTGCGCAGGAAGTACCTTGGTTCTCATTAAGGTCCATCCAAATTTAATTCAAATAATCCAAATTTTTAAATAGATATGCTCATAATTAATCTGGATATTATATATTTAATTTAGATAATCTATTTTAATATTAAATTTTTCTAATTTGTATAAAGTGACTATTCTTGATGGGAGATTTTTAAAAAATATTTTTTTTAAATGATTAGAAGTTAGAAATTTTAAATTTAAACAATTTATAACAAATCTGAATGGTAAATTTATTATTAAACCTTCAAAATCTACTTTGTCCCAATTGATAAGGAATATATTTATATATTTTTAATAATTTTTTATGTTAATAAATGTAAAATAAAAATAAAAGAAAAAATTATATCTAAATCATCCAAAAAAATTTGAACATTCTAGATTTTATCAAGTGCACATCAGGGTCATGAGCATCCAAGTTAAACGCGATAGAATCAGCGAGAAATAACTAATGATTGAGGTCAATTATTTTAAAAGTCTTAATATTTTCAAAGGCAAAAGTTGTTGTTCAAAATCTAAGAAAATTGCAGTTTAAGTAATTTTATAATAATTTTTAAATTTCAATAACCATCCCAGTAAATTCTGAGATAAATTTTTTTATAGAACAAGTAAATTTTACGGTTTCTAAAATATAATATATTATTATTATATTGTTTTTAGAATTAACGTCCCAAAATTGACTTGGGTGCAGGTAAATCGAAGCAGTCAATGAGTGAAGAGACGAGGAATGAAGAGGGCGAAACATTGGCTAATGATAATCAAATAGAATTTAAATCTGAGAATCCTTTCTTCCAAGTCAAACTCAAATCTTCAAGTATCAGCAGCTATCTGGTAATTAAGCTTTCATGTTCTTGACAAATAATTGTAATATATTAATTTATTTAATATCTTTAATTTTTGTTCTTACTTAAATGAATTTTTAATCGGAAAAGAAACGAGTATTCGTTGATGTAAAAAAAAAATTGGCGGTTGACAAACAAAAATTAAGAAAGTAAATTCCTCACATAAAGTGAACTATATGATGATTTTTTTTTAACAAATAGATATTTCATTTTATTTCTTTTGCATGCAATACGAAGTCTATGACCTAAATAGAATTGCTGTGATGTTGTTTTTACCTTAAGCAACTTGAAACTTTTTCTTTTGTTTTTGTTTTTGTTAGTTTATATTGCGCCTAGTCCTCTGAATTGGGTTGTTTTGCATGTCGATTTTTTCACTTCATTTTTACAATTGCTCAATTGCAATAAATTATTAACCCGTTAAAGGTTAAACCAATAACCTAAAAATGCTTGGGACTAATGAAATGAGAACCTATGTAATTAACTTCTCGTAGGATTATAGCTTCTTATGCCTAACATGATGTGGTACCCTTTATATATAGATTTTATGATCACCAACTAACTAGGTGATTAACACTAATCATCTTTGATTAATCTAACAGGTTGACCTGTTATGTGTGCATTTGAAGAGGTTAAGATAATGAGGAAGACAAAATAACTTGACTTAATCTTACTATCTCTCTCTTATGTATTTACAAACTCTATATTGAAAGTAATCAATTTATATATTTACAAAGTCACGTACTCAATACAGGATTCAACATATATATGTTTTGGTGCAATTAATTGTGTTGTTATGCGTTGAGCAGAATATACCATTGAGCTTTTCGAGAGAACACATAAGGAAGGAGAGCCAAAGGCAAGATATAAAGCTAGAGATGTCAAAGTGCAACAAAATGTGGGATGTGGGTCTGATGGTGTTGTGGGGCCCAGGCAACAAGAAGGTTATTGCAGGAGCAAGACTGAGTCAGGGATGGAAGGGCTTCGTCTCAGAATATCAGCTGCAAATGGGAGATCTCTGCATCTTTGAAATGATCCACCATACTCATCACCTTCTCTTCCGTCTTCATGTTCATCGATGGGATCAACAGAACCACAAGTTTGTTCACATATTTTAGGACATACACACGTTATCAAATCCTCAATCACTCCCCCCAGCCATCCTGTTCCTGTTCATAGTCTTCAAGTTTGTAAGTCCTAATCTGGATAACGTTATTTTGGTTGTCTTTTTGTATTTTGAGCGCATATGATATGATCGTTTAAGTTTTTTATTTAATGCTACTACATATTCTATATCCTGAAAGGATAGGATGATTGTCAGTTTATTTTTTATTTTTCAACGGAAAATCAGTTCAAGGTCCTTTATAGGGATTCTTTGATTGTAAGTATATTTTTTACTATCAGTCTTTACTTTAAGAAAATTAATTAACTATAATAATTATATCTAAAAATAAAAAAATTATATTAAAATACTTTATATTAATCAACATAAGCATGTATTAATTATTTTTTATTAATGTAAATTATGAGGGATGATTTAGAAAATGTGTAATATATGCTTATTGAAATAGGTGATTTTGCTTATATAAAAAACAATAAAAAGTAATAGTTTTTTCTACAAATAGATTTAATGGCATTAAAATAAAAATTAAAGGATTTGATTTCACGATATCTCTCAATTGAATAGGAGCTTAATTGAGGGAATGGAGAGAATTTCATCTAAGGACTACCATAGCTACTTATTTACAAGTTAGATCCAAAAAAATAAATTACACCGCAGGATTTTGTGACTGAAGTGAAATAAAATGATGAAGCAAAATATCCTTCTGTAAGGAATTATTATATCTAACTTGCTATTTTACAACATTAGTACTAAATCCATTCATCATCAACCATTAAAACTAGTAAAATTGTTAACATTATTTGTTAATCAACTTTGCATGTTAAGTTCATAACATTTATTTTCAAATGTTAGGACAATTTGGTCATGCCGCACCCAAAAAAAAAATTATTTCAGTTAAGTCCTCCAATACTTATCGTGTAATTTCAGAATATTTTGATATGATTTGTAAATAAAAAGTTATCAAGATCCTCAAATAAAATTCTCCGTGAATTCTTTGAAAGAATCCCAGGCGTGAATTATTTATGGCTCCCAGCTCTTTACACCATAATAAAGGTAAAATATTAAATTATAAAGATGATGAAAGAGAAATGCATATTGCATATCATATCTGAATTTATGGAGATGATCTGAATTTGCGTCCTAGAAAGAAAGAAACTAAGGCTGAAGAAAATTTTGTAGAAAGAAAACGCATTCAAAGGTAGCCATCAAAGGCCCACTGATTCTCCTTACGAATTTGTGCTTCTTCTTCAGGAGAAAAATCATTCTTGATGCCGAAAGTCCTCCGAAACTCCTCCGGACTCTTAATTTCCACGATTCTATCGCTCACAGTCCGGATTGTTAGATCCCTGAGGCTCTTGATTTGCAGATAATCCGCCGCCAGCGTGAGATCGAACAGAGAGCTCCAGTCCACGTTCAAGAACTCAGCGTCCCACCTGCGGAGCTCTGCGTCGTCGGCGGCCATGGCATGCTTCTGGCAATACTCGATGACCTTGGCCAACGTCTCGCCATTCACATTCTCTATCGGAATTACGCCGTCTACGCAACCGTCATCGATCTTGTTTTTCAGAAGCTGCCATGTCAGTGCGATTTTCACGTCTATCTCGAGTAGGGTTCCGTCGTTGCTCTCCAGAGTTAGCTTCTCAGACGAAGGAGTTGTCGTCATCTTTCTGGAGAAGAAGGGTTGGTCTGGAGAATTCTTTTTCACAGTACTCTTTCGATCTTGTGGTATTTTAGAAAAGTTAAAGTGACGTAGTTATATATATATATATATATATGCACGATCGGGAAAAAGGGAGGGCTTGACCGTTTTTAACAGTTTTTACGGGATAAATTAAAATTCGGAAAAACATATTTAATTATTTATCTTAATTTTAATTTTATGAGAAAGGTGAACGTGTGAGATTTTATGAGTAAATTTGGATTTAAATTTTGCATTTAAAATTTCGTATTTTAAATCTTATATTTTAAATTCAAAGATGTAGAATTCTTCATTTGATAGGTAGTTAAAAAATTTCAGAAAAAACGGAGATAAATTACAATTTGAAAAAAAAAATTTAAAAAAGATGAAAGACAATAATAAAAAAAATGAGTATATTACATTTTATAATTATTTTTTTACTTTTAAATTGTAAAATATTTAGTAATTTTCTTAAGTAATATTTTTACTTTTTTTTATCGTTTCTTGCCCTATTTTTTAATTTTATAATTATTTTCACCTAAAATTAATTTTTAATAGATTTTTTTATTAAATTTTTCTTTCTTATATCCAAAATCTGATTCAACAAATTTCGGAAACTACCTCCAGACCTCCACGATGTAGCTGATATATGAGTGGCGAAAAATCTGGAATAAAATATTTATAATTTTTTTATTTCATTATTCTGTTAGTTTGTTCCTCAAATTTAAGAAATTTGTTGCCTCATTTATCTTTCAGTTGTAATTTTGCAAGCTTAACAGTAATAAGGAATTCAGAAACTATTTGCCTCTGCACTCTCTATTTATCGTTTTATTTCTCTCTTAAACTAGCAGATTTAAATTAATTAATCATGATTAGTCTAACCATAATCTCTTCATTGACTCTTGAATCAACGCCCCGTCTATTTTAAAGCGAATCTATTTTTCATTTTTAGATAAGATCACATTTGCAAGACATTCTCAAATATGTCCCTCGGGCACATCCTAAAAGAAAATACTTGGAGTTTATCAAAAAAACAAAAAAAGAAAAAAGAAATGAAATGAAAAGAAAATACTTGGAGAAGGTCGACACGGTGATAAATGAGAGTTTCCAATGAAGTCTTCTCTCATAATAAAGAACAGAATGAATGGGAGTTTATCATATGAATTTTGAAAGCTGTCTTTGATTTAAATTACTTTATGATATTATTTAATATTTTTGGAATATATTTAAATTAAATAAATGGATGGGAAAAATAGTTTCAATCAAGGAATATATATATATATATGTGACTTTCACCCCTTAAGTTTGCTTCAATTATTGATTTAATCCTTTTTTTTAAATAATTATGTCAGTCATTTAGGTTTTAAAACAAAAATTAATGATCAAATTAATCTAAATAATGTATATTGATGATTTAGAATGTATATGTAACTAAATAAAAATAAACTAGATCTCACATCAGCTTAATTTTTATCAATATAATCTCTTATTTAGTGTTTTATTCTTTTGTTTTTAAAAATTTTTTAGTCTCTGTTTCTTTCATACCTAAATAATTATATTTCTTTTTATTCATCTACATTGCTACCATCAATATATTTCTCTATTCATGTCAGTAAATTTTAACCTTATTATATCCTCTTTAAACAATAAGAAGCAAATTTATAATTAAGAGTTTAAGACAAGCATAAGAGATTAAATCGAGATCGAATTGATAAAACTCATACAAACCAAACCAGAAACCAAGACCAAACATACGATAGAACAAACTAGAAAACAACCTACGGTACATGATTCAAACATAATCAAAGGAAAATTCCTCGAATCAACGAATTCACAATCCAAGAAAAGAGTTAATGGGAATGGGGGCAGGCAAGCCCAATCTGAACCATGCCTTCCATAGCTTCCAAAGAATAAGAGCAATCATTACCCTTTTTTTGGCGAAGGAAGAAACAAATATATTAAAACGAAACAAAGTCATGACTAGCAACAGAACACAAAGAAAAACGACAAAGAACCTGTACAAAAGCAACCAAAAAAAAAAGCGATGTCTCTAGAGTCCTAACATAATCACATGTTAGGATAGATCCCACATGGGAAGGGGGTAATGAAACCCACTCGTTAGAGCACTTCCCTTTAAAAGCTACGCAAGCAATCTAGCCAGCAGTAGCGGCAATAGAATGTCTTGGGACCTATTTGAAGTTGCAATAGCTCATCAATCCTCCAAGATTAAAGATAGACTCCATATGTGCCACACCATTCCATTCAAGAAACACTTGTCTATTATTTAAAGACTGCATTATGGAAAATAAGCAGAATATGGCATTAGTAGTATTATTGATAGCATACCATTGTAGGCCTGCCAAAATTGCCATGACCTCGCTCATAAAAGGGGAGACAAGCTCAATGAATTTCCCTATAGAGACCAAACAGATATCATTCATATTAACCAGAATAAAACCAATGCCAAGAGAGTGAGTCTTACCATTATAAGCACCATCAACACACACGCTATAAGCCTTACCAGAGAGATGTTATCTGCCCCAGTTATCCTGCTATTAGAAGCTTGTTCATTAAGCCCCAGGCTTTCTCTTGAAATTAACCACCATGTAGAAATCCCAATAAAACAAAGCTTGGTGAATAATAGCCACAGGTTTAACAAATTGGGTAAGTGCTATTTCCCTTAACAAATAAGCATAAAATATATTAAAGATATAACATTACTTGCAAAATATATGTTGCCTATTCCATATTCTTCTCTAAGTATAATTCTCAATCCCAATCCAAATCAAAAACAGAAGTGCATTCAAAGTATTACGTTGTCCAAGTGTGATTAGATATAAGACAATGTGTAAAGTATCACATTGAATAAAATTGGGCTTAATAATTAAGACATAATAAAGAAAAAAGACTCATAAACTTGAGTTTTGAGGTTTGAATGAAGATATAGTGTCCTTTCGCTACTCTTGCAAGTCTCTTCTTCCCCCACCGCATTCCCGAGCAGTCGCTCCCCATTCCTAACAAAGTACAATCTAGAAGTTGGGCAAATCTGAACATTAAAGCAAAACTTTGCTTACTTTCTATACTCTACTTCTTCCAAACCCTCAACTCATTGTAGCAAACGATAAAGCACTCAAGCCTACCCAATTGCTAGGATGCTCAAATGTGCCATCTTCAACGTAACACCACACCAAGCCGTAGATTTGCTACCTTAAAACTTCCTCTCATAACCTAAATGACCACTATCAATCTTTGCCTCAATCTCACCATAATTGACTCCGCACTTGGAGGTACCCATTTAATATCCTCCACCATCACAATACAAGTGAAATTGCATTTTCTGACACTCACTACACAATTAAAGGTCCTTTGATGCTCTAACTTCTGAAGAAGCCTATACTTCGCCTCCAATCCATCACAAAATCAACCGGAGAAAAGCTTTACCGTGCCAAGTCATGACTAGATCTACCTAAGAAAACCCACTCGCACGCCCAAAATCTTGTACCCACCCAAAACAACTACTCACACACACTTGATCTAGGTCGAAAAAGGATGCTACTGAGAACATCGATCTCTCATAAAGAGACCCTCCAAAATGAGGGAAGGACAAGGCCCTAACAAAGCATTCTCTGCAGCGCTTTCGCTATTAATAATTGCCTTAATTAGCTCACAAACATTGTTGTTTATATAATCCAATTCATTTCAAAAATCCATCTAAACCCAGCATGGTTCCAAATTATAAGATTAATAACAAAAGACAACACACTAAAACTACCTCCAACAGATAGCAATACTTTACCCAAAATTTCGATTACATCCAACAACACAGATTCTAAAATAAGGGGTAAAGCCACCAAAACATACTCAAGAGAATCCAAACAATTATACCATTATGAACCCATGAAAATTAGAATGGAAAGATGCATAATATACTTATATACTAGACTTATACCACATAGGAGATAGAGGAACATGAATAAGCTACATCAAAGGATGAACAAGATCATTCATTGCCACATACTCATACCTAGACAACACCTGCTCCGTTAATTTTGAACCATATATCAAATGCTCTTTGTCATCAATTTTGCTTTCAACATTTTAGAATCGTCTTTAGATCCAGGTTACATCATCCTCCACTCTTCCATCTTCATTTTCCACAAATACATTGGGACAAAAGTTGCACATCCTTGACTATAGACACATTCATCTCCATCCTTTCAAATTATAGCCTCTTCAAATCCCCTATCATCATCGCATACTGATTGAAGAACTTGAAAGTACAATCAAAGATTTAGATATCACTAGTATAAAATATGAAATTTAAAAGATATTTTCTATATCGGTTAGAAGGCAACCGATATAGAAAACTAAGGCAATGGCATTTTTATAATTTTGACAAGATGTGGTATAGTTTTTACAGCGAGCAAAGAGGAAACCGCTGTAGAAAAGACTTTCTACAACGGTTGTAGACGTAACTAATGTAGAAAGTGTACTTTCTACAGCGGTTTTAGACCCAACCACTGTAGAAAGTATTACAATTTTTAATTTTTAAATCGTTGATCTGTTTTCTATATCGGTTATGGTTAGCCGATGTAGAATATATATTTTTTACAGCAATCGTATAACCTACATCCTTGTAACAATATTGCCTATTTAATTACTATAAAAAGTCATTTTTAACTGCTATAAAAAGTTATTTTTATATTAGTATATAGATTGAGTTTTATCTGATCCTCCTCCAATTTTTCAATCGTTCCCAAAATCTACTCTTAGTCACCATTGTTTTGATTGCTAAAAGCCACATGCACATACACACACTGAGGTGCACGGTGACAGATAGAAGAAAATTAGTTAGTGAACACAAAATTAATACCTAAATTTATATTAAATATAAAATTTATTAATTAAAATGAAATAATCACTCTGTTTAAAAAATAAGGATTTTTCTAAAACAAGATGTTAAAAATATAAGATACTTTGAATAT